ATTTTAATTTTAATTTAAAAAATCTTTTAATTTTATTTTTTATCACAATATGAGGTTATTGGGTTGTTCTTGCGTTCTCGTAAATCACAGGGGTTCTCGTTTGAACCCTTCCCTATATATATATATATATATATATATATATATATATTTAAATGAACCACAAACATTTGAATGAACCATAAGATAAGATGGTGTCTGATTTGTTTATTGAACTCCAAAGGTTAAAAGTGTCCCGAGGTTGCAGGTTCATCCAAGAAGGAATACAAACCTCCTTGTGATCACGGATGTTCAAATGGGATGATGACTCTTGACTACCAGGTGGTCATACTGGGATTAGTCGACTTACATAGCGAGTTGAATATTCAAGTTAATAATATCTGAACGTGAATCTGACTTCTTCTGAAAATCCCATAACACAATGTTAATTGTGGAATCTCATTGTACAATTGCTTTTAGCAATATCCGATTCTATTCAAGGGTATCATTGTCCATCACACTCCAAAAGTTAAGTTTGCATATTCATCACTAGAATCGACCAATGATAAGATTGACACGTTTTTGGTCCCCACGATACCTTGGAGACTCATGTTCAAATTTTCAACTTTTACCTTAGATTATGTTTTGATCAAACAGAAAAATATCCCATTTCCTTTTACTAATTCTATGGTTCCTTTGCCGATTTCACAAGGGATTTATTTAACATTTTAGGAATAACTAAAAAGGAAACTAACCCCAAAACCAAAAGACATCAGCATCAAATGAACATAAACCATCCAAACTACTATAAGTCTAGCGGTATCTAAGTCTTTGGCCTTCTATGAGGTAAATGGTTCAAACTTCACCAAAGATTTTGGTGAGAAGGGTGTGTGAGTTTATTTGTTCTATTTGTCGTATGTATGTATCAAGTGATTAACGGAGCATAAATCGCTGGAAAACCAAACATATAAATTAAGATCAAACAAAGGGAAGTTCGAATCCTAAGTTAACCGATCTCCAAAAAAGTATACTAATTCAAACCAGAAGAGAATTGAATTAGCTGCAACCACTGTTTTGGAGAAGTGAAAACACAAAACCTTGCTGCTAATTAAAGTGAATAAAAAGAGAGATAAAACTGTCCCCCAAGAAATGGTGTTGAATGCCCTTTCTTCCTTCGGTATCCTCTTCAAAGATTTTGGTGCAGGAATTAATGAGGAGGCTTTTGTTTCGATGCTTAGTAGTCTTGAAAAAGTTGGAGTGTTGTTATTCTTCCCATGAATGGACACCAAGAGATCCTTTGGATCCTCAATGCCTTTTAAGAGTGAGCCCCATCTCGTCCTTTCGGTTGTTCTTACCAGCTCATGATCGATCAACTGTTAGGCCCACGAAGAGGAATTCCGTTTTGAAGGAGTTGTAAATGGGTTTCAGAAGTTTGTCTATTGGCTATATATTATGATTTTTGATCTAGTACCAGACTTGCTTACATGAACTGCGCAGATAAATTCAATTCCTCTATGAAAAAGCTTATATATGGGCAATTTATTAATTAGCCAATCAGCTTCAATTGGAATAAAAACGTTCAAATTCATGAGGTGATCTGAAGGAATGAAAGTCTTGGAGGTGAGTACTGCTGCTGGTAGTATTTTGCAGGTTCAATGGCATTCCTGGCTGTCCTAAACTGATAGTACTGTTTCCATGCGCAAACTGATCAAAGGATGAGGCTTGGTCAGGCCAATTCGATGACCAAGAACTTGTTGACAGAAGAGAGAAAGCATGCCTAACATCTCCAGATAATAAAGGGTTCGAAGTTGAGTCCATACCTGCTACAGTCACCAACCAAAATCAACCCAACGGATTGCATGTCCTTACCCTTACCCTTGTAGACAAACACAATCTTACCGATATCTAAATATATAATTGCTAAGTAATTTCTAGATTGAAATCTTTTGGAAAGGAAACTGTTTTTTTTTTGTATGGAGGGAGTACCATCTTGTTATTTTCCAAACTTTAAACATCTGGTTCCATCTTTGAGTTCTATGAAACTCATGGTCAAAAAGCATATGTTTTGAGGAAAAATGCATAAGTCAAGTACGTACATACCGTTATGATTCACGTTTCTAGGCATAAACCTCTCGGAACTGAAGTGTAAGGCACCATTTGTTGGTAGGACATCAATCCCTCCATCTTTTGCTAGACCTAGGAGAGACTCTTCCCCTTTGAAGTTGCAAGAACTTTCGGGTGGTACTGTTGAATCCATAATAGGGATCGAGGCCCTATTCAGAAGAAAATTCATCTGTGGTCTTCGATCTGTTAGTTAAAACAACAATGTTGATTGAACAGTGAACATGGATGAAGCAATATTTCTAACATTTAATAATTTATGCAAAGTCAGAAATTAAACAAGTGGTGCCACACTAGAAATGCCGTAGAGATTTGTGAAAAACAAGTAAAATAGATTGGCTCAATTGTTACCACATATTGAAGAGGACATTCGTGTAGAGCTGAATTGGATATCTTCTGACTGCGGCCTGCGTCGTCTAGCATTATGAGCAGAAAGGCGTCGACGACAACTACGCTTTCTATCATCAAACTCTGACAGATCATGAAACCTGCAAGATTGATCACTCATCATATAATACATATATAATATATATATATATATATATATATATATATATATGTAGTTTGACGTATTAGATCTTAGAAAAAGGGTATTCTTAATATAAGATAATAAATCGATACGTGGAAGTTAATATAGCTTGCCTGCTACATTGCTGACAGAATCGACGTTCCATCCCAGCTACAACGACTTTCGGGCTTTTAGAATGATTAGCGCAGATTCTATGCCGGCGGTGGTAGTCTTTGGCAGATGAAAGGTCGAGGTTGCATCCTTCGACTTGACAACGTGGAGACTGTGAACTTAAGTAAGATGCTCTAGATCTCTTTATCATGGGCGACGTTGTAGGAAACAAAGACACCGATGCAGTGGCGGTCTTGTTATTACTGCTAGAACTACTCCCATGCCTTCCAAGCTTTAAACCAATCATGGCTTCACCAGAAAACACTGAAGCTTCTTCCACCATGTTAGAGAAGCGCCCATTCTCCCCTACCCAAGAAGGCTCTTCCTTTTCCAAGAAACTTTTATGTAAATCATCAAATACTCCAAAAGTCTTGATGGTCTCCTTAGACGAAGAATCTGCAGAAGCCGAGAAGGAGAAATCCACATTGTCAACAGGCTCATGTTCTTGGCTTTCGTGGCTGGAAAGTTGCAAATTCTTGGTGACTTCGATCTCTTTGCTGCTGTAAATGGCTAAGTTCTCCCAGTCCCATTCTGTGGGAGTATTCAAATTCCAGTCCATCCCTCACGAACGATATCTAAACGCTAAAAGTTCCATTTAAACAGTGAATTCAGCCTGTCATCAAGCACGTACAAGTTTCATATCTACAAAAAAGGACACCAAATTACACAATTAGTTCTAATCTGCAGATGAACTAATTACCTTCAGTTGGAGATGATGGAATTCCAAGGTTACTGGAAGTCTTTTATGGTGTATGATTCTGAACATTGAAAATAAAGGTAGGTGGAAAATAGATTTGGTCTTCCATTCAAAACAACATAAAAGAGATAGCTTCCTCCTGGGGCAAGAAGAGACCCACACAACATATGAAAATGCCGATGAAAACACCATATGAGAAAGCTAGCAATCATATAAAACAGCACCAGCAGACAACAGTGTGCCCCACATTTGCATTAAAGAAGTTGCTTTCGGCTCATGAGTCTCTCCATAAGTTTCATCACCCCCAGCAAAAAAACAAAGGGGGTGTACGTACCTAATTCATTTTTTTAGGTTCGAGTTTTGGAGCAATCGATAAATAGAAACCTCAGAAAATATTGTTGGAAGATTGTAGTTAAAGATTCTTAGAGGTTTGAAGCACAAAGCCAAGAAAAACAAAGTCGATCGATGCTTTAATTCAACGTAACAATTATTTTGTGATTAATTGTTCCACAGGAATTTAGTCTTTACGGAAATAATTGTTCTATTTTTAAGGTACGGAGTTTAATTAATTTGAGTAGGATACAGTGGCTTAATTTGGTTTGGTTGGAGAGACTTACAACTCACTTTCACAAGACAATGTTTGGTATCATGACATGTTGTAACACATAAGTCAACATATAGATAAACTAAAGATGGATTAATAGATACAGTTCATAAATGATCTTCAAAGCTTAATTAAATCAGATGCATTCATTGGTCTCTCCTCAAATTAAGTTTTAATTAAGCCAAAGTTCATTCTCGCATCCGAAAAAATGGCATTAATTAATTCCCCTTCATTATTCATCATGCCATGCCATGATCAAAGAAATACAAAAAGGTATGAAATCTAGCAGTTTGTAAAGACTTCTTTTGGGTGGCCCTCACTAAGTCAAGAAGTCATGATTCATCACCATGTCTCTTTGTATGCGCATTTCATTCTGTCAGACTTGCCCATGTGGATTCTACAGTTGCTTGTATTGGCCAAGACAGGTTAAACTAAGCACATGCTCTTGGATTCTTCTGCTACATGTACAGATCTCTATTTACCTCCATTTTTTCACCATTAACACATACACCATTCCTTACCACAATTCATCATCAGAGTTCCCATGATTTTTGGCCATATACTACAAATACTTGCATGCAAAAGAATATTTACAGTTGTTAAAAGAAAGGAAAAAAAACTAATTTTTTACAGCACCAAATGTAAAATCTTCTCAAAGTTTTACTCTCCTTCTCTCTTCAATTATTTCTGCAAAGGCATAAAGCTTTTCTTTTGTATGGTTTGTGACAATAACTACCTTGTAAAGCTGGTTATTGAAACAGCATTAAATCGAGAAACTTGCATAGCTGACTGGCTATCAACCATCACTTTTCTTTGATGTAATTGATAGGTCCTTCATGCCATTTCGCTTTCTGCCAGCAGTTTAATGAATCCAACGAATAATTCAAAGTTTACATTTATTCAATTCAATGCTAGCAAACAAATGTCACCAATATGTTTCTTAAGTACTTCGATTCCAAAGTCGCAAGATTTCAAAAATTCCGAGGCCCGATAAGCCACCTGTCAGTATAGTAGAAGTCGATCAATATATCTTAAGAAGCTAGCACGATTGTATTATTTTCTAGACCATTGTCCTAGCCATGGTTACGTACGTGACTTGTATTATTGATTTTACTCCTTTTGTATTTCGTATTGCTGCTAAACTCATGCCTTTATGGTAATATGTTGTGAATAAAAATTTGTGCTCCAAAATCCCGTGTTACATTAAATAAAGTATGCTACAAAAATTTATATGTATTCACGTGATTGATGGAATAAAAGTTGGGACGAGAAATTTTGAGACATATCAAAGTATACCTAGCTACCATTTCAAAATTTACCGGAAGAAACCATTAAGCTTTGGTCATCTAGCATAAGACCCTAATTAAGGACATTGTTTGTAAGTACGGTCATATGGAACAAAAAACTAAAAAACATAAAGAACCATTCATTATTAGGGTCACCATCATAAATAACCCACATGGTAAGTTTTACTTTTCAATCACTTTCAAAAAATTTCTAACAAAATAGCCAAGAAACCGCAAATTAATGCCGCAAGATGCTTTTTCTTGCGGTATTGCAAGTTGTTGCCTTGGCTTGTTTTTATGCATCGATGCATGTCCTTATAGTGCCACAAGTTGTGTTGTCTCTATTTATTTTTACAGTGGATCCACTTTGAACAGTCGCTGGTCTGTAATGCAGAAAGATAAACCCAAAATGGGTGAAAACCATGAGTAAAGTAGACCACTGAGAGAAGTCTGCTAATTGATGAAGATGATTACCATGCTTGGAATGGAGAAAAGTCTGTTCCTTCTTGGGATTGGGAGGGTAAAAACATGAATTAAGATGACTTGATGAGGTTAGGTCCCAAACTCCCCAAAGTGCCCAAACACGATCTGCAACACGAAACAGCCAAAGCCGTGCATCCAATGCATTGTGAGGTTAATTAGGTCACAAATTCCTCCAATGCTTAAGTCGCATTTTTGGTACTGTTCGGATTTTTGGTACCATATATATATATAGCTCCTAGAAAATAGTCGCTGTGTGCAACCTTTAAGTCGCATGACCATGTCGCGCGCAACTCCTCATGAGGCAACAGGTACAACTCTGTAGGCACGTAAGTAACACACAAGTTACGTAGCAAATTACTACGATTATATCAAGAAACGGACCGAAAGAATTCACTCACATGGGTGTATCTTTGGTGTCAAAACTTCAAATAGAGACAGACATCACCAATTTTTGGTTAATTTCTACTTTTTTTACAAAGGCAATTAAGGTAAATTCACTATTCATTACCAAATAAAAATATGTTGTGGTACTCTTTCTTCTGTTTTAATGGTAGTCAAATGTTTAAGCTCCTAATAAAGCCAATCATTCTCACATAATTACCCAAAAGGCACATTTTAATTTAATGTTTAGAACTAATAAGCTAAACTTGTTTGCATTATGTCATGCATGTTTATTAATTAAGCTAACTTAACAGTCGATATCTATCTCAAAACAAACATGCCCGACCTTACTAACCAATCATCTTAATCAACAAGATTCCACGTGCAAATGAGTCACTACTTTACTCTCACATCCATCCATCACAATAAGTGGGACTTACTTAAGACGTTCAATCAGTCACCAGTAGCTTTCAACATCCCTTAATCCATGCATTACTTTTTGCAGACATTACAGTTACAGAAGAATAAAAAACAAATGAAACCCACAATTTAGAATAATGAAAGATGTATAAATGAGTTTTCAATCATGCAATCTATGGATTATATGGGAATGGGAATGGGAATGGAGATTAAGCCAGGAAGAGGACCCTACTACAGTAGAGACTTTATAGCTACAGGGACAGGAGACTGGGTAAGTAAATATTAATGACTTTACAGGTATGATTATGTTGCAGAAAGCGAAACTAGAGTTTGATGATAAGGGCCATAGTGTGCAGCTAAAATCGGGAGTATGGGCCCTGCTTCCATAACTTAACACCATTCATATTCAAGAGGTAGGAGGAAAAGGGCCACACATTGGTTAATTCTATTTAATGAAAGGTGATTTAAATTGTCTACAAATTCTATACAATTTTTATTTTTTATTTATCTAGTAAAAAGAAGGTTTATATCATAACAACCGTAGATTATATTTTAAGAATTCAAAAAAAAGAAATATATATATATATATATATATATATATATACATGAACGATCAAATGCAAACCCCTTTTTATACAAACTAGCATCAATCAATAGCATAATTTCATTTTTTTTATTTTCATTTCATAAAGGTATGATTGTCTTTTGACTTTATAAGATAATTTTAGTAATATTTTAATTGTGTCTAAATCGGAAAGATTATATAGATTAGAGGTTTTTTTAGGAAATGATCAATCAATTTATTTTTATAATAATCTTGAAACCAGTAAATTTTTAATAGATAATTACTAATATCAATGAAACAGGTATCATGATCGTGTATTATTCATCATGAATGTTGTATCATTAATCATGAATAGTTCATGAACTCCGCCTTCGTTATTTATATTGAACGTGGATGTCGGGAACACATGTTCTTTGTCCCCCAGTTTACGACCGAAACTCAGTTTTCATTTGAACTTTTCTTCTCTTTCTCTCTCTCTCTCTATATATATAGGAGCCTATTCAAGGGATAACTGAGTTGTTTGTGGTAACTGTGAGAACCAATATTAACCACAAATCAATAGATAAATTAGGAAATTTATAAATTTGGTAATTTTAAATTAAAATCTTAATGCAAGGATATTTTTGGTATTTTAAAACTCTCATCTCTCCTCTCTTCTCTCTCCGGCCACCATTCTCCGGCCTCCGGCCACCGTCCTCCGGTGATACCACTATGATACCACTGTGATACATAAAAATATTGACTCTGTTAAACAAAAGATACATTGTGATACCTAATCATATATAAGATGCATAGTGATACCACTGTGTTACATCTTCGATCGACCACACAAACGACATCAATGTGATACCCAAGCACATATATGATGCATTGTGATACCATTGTAGTATCACCGGAGGAAGGTGGCCGGAGAGAGAAGAGAGGAGGGAGGAAAGTTTTAAAATACCAAAAATATCCTTGCATTAATATTTTAATTCAAAATTGCCAAAATTATAAATTTCCTAATTTATCTATTGATTTGTGGTTAATATTGGTTCTCACAGTTACCACAAACTAATTAGTTCTCATTTGATTAGGCCCCTATATATATATATATATATATATATATATATAAAGTATGAAT